CCCCCCCCCCCCCCCCCCCCCCGTCTACTTTCAGTGCTTCCCATTGGTTGGGCCTGACCAGAAGCCAGAGGGCACAAGTGCCTGAGAGCTGTGGTTTCTAGGTCAGCCTCCCCGTGCCCAGAACTGGGGGCAGAGGGGGATTCCCATCTCACCAGCTGTTCACCAAGCCGGGGACCTTCTGTCAGGAGTTCCCAGATGACCTTGCATCAGCCAGGTGACCCTGGCTGTGGTCACCAGAGCCCAGAGGTGACCAGGAAGCAGAAAGAGGAGGCGTTTGCTCCTGGGGCAGGGCTGGTGCTGGCCTGTCCCCTCCCAAGTCTTGTAGGCCAAGCATCTATAATGTGCCAGCCCCCCCCGCCCCACCCCACCCCCCATGTTCCCAACATCACAGTAGACAAGAGGGAGCCTCACAAAAGGAGGGGGCACATTCTTCCTCCCCGGGGCCTTGTGTCCAGGCAGAACTTTTATCCAGATGGGAGGTATTGCGGCTACAGCTCAGCGCAGTCATCTCTAGCTGCACGTGGCTATTCAAATGGAAATTAACACAAATGAAATAAAATTAAAAATTCAGTTCCTCTGTGGCACCAGTCCCATTTCAGTTGCTCAGAAGCCACATGTGGTTAGTGGCCCCGTGTTGGACAGAGCAGGCAGTAAACATCTGCATCGTTGCAGAACATTCTATTGGGTAGCACTGCTTAGGCCACTGATTCTCACTTCGGACAGACTTAAGAGTCCTGGGGAGGGGGAGTCTGGCTTGAATTGCAGTTTCCTAGGGCCGTGCCCCAGCAGTTCTGATTTAGCCAATCTGGGGCGGAGCTCAGGAATCTGCATTTTCACCAGGCTGTTCACAAGTGTCTGATGCAGGTAGTTCAGACTCTCTGGCCGTTAAAAAAGAGCGTTCGTTTTAAAACTTCGTGTGCTGTGCCCCTGTTTTGAACACCCTTCAGTCTGCAGAAAGCAGAACTTGGAAAGCCTTTGTCCTCACACCTGTGGGTTCGCTCGAGCTCCTGTCCCGCCGATGCTGGGGCCACGTACACGTCCCGCAGGGGCACATGGGAACAAGAGGAGGGCGGCCCTTTCCCGTGTGTTCCCTGCCTGATGCAGGCAGGGCGCCTGGCATCCCAGCTGGTTCAGTGTCCCCCTCCCACCCACCCTGGCCCCCATCCCGGAGGCCCACTTCCCCAGGTCCTGGCCACACAAGAATGCAGCCGCCAGCGTCCCCAGGGATGCTGAGGGAACAGCTTTCGCGGGTAATGGTTGGAAAGGGAATTCAGGGCAGAAACTTCACCCCACCCAGCCCAGGCTGACCTGAGGTTCCCTGGGAGGGTGGGAAGGAGGGAACTGGGCAGGAACGATGCTCTCCATCTGGGGGGAGCTTGTGGTAGTTGGTTGGGAAGAGGCAGCAGAGCAGGGGTGGGGTTCCTGCCAGGAGAAACCCTGCCTGGGCTCTGCCAGTGCTGTGTATCTCGGGCAGCCGAGGAGGTCGGGGAGGTGAAGGTGCTGGACGGCTGCTCGAGTGGGCTGCCCGAGTGCCGGGGAGGGTCAGGCCTCTGTGGGGGGCCCGTCTCAGCCGAGGGTCAGGGCCCTGTCCCCGCTGCGCTCCCCTGCTCCTGTTGGGAATCCCCAGCACTGAATGGAGAGCTTGGATGTGGGAGGTTGGGCAGCGGAGCCTTTGAACTGGCTGACCTTGGCCGGGCTGGACCCTCGCCTGCCTCCAGAGATGGGTAATTAATCGCCAGTAATGGGCTGGCTGCAGAGATTTGGGGAAATGAGTCTAGCTGAGTGGCGGCTCAGAGCCTCTTAATAGCCATCCTGATGCATTAGGAGCGAGCCCGCCCAACTCCTGCTGAGCACGGGGCTGCGCAGGCTTGGTCCCCAGTGGGCACGCTTGAAGGAGCTGGATCCAGGACTGGGGGTGGGTGGCGGGCGAGGAAATGGTTCTGCAGCCTCACCGGGCCCCCCCCGCCAAGAGCAAGGCAGCCCCCCACCCCCACCCCGCGTGCCCTCTGAAGCTGGAGGGCCAGGCCCCGTCTCCTGAGCTAGTCCGGCCCAGCTGGGCTGCACATCTTTCTTGCGGTATTTTATGGCACTTGCATTTCCAAACGGAAGATTCATTGCTCCCCTCTTTCTGCAGATAAGGTGGCTGCTGCTCTCTGCATTTAATTTAACAGCCCTGCCCACCATAAACCTCTCTGGGGCCGCCTTTAAATTCTCCCTTCCCCCGCACGGGCTATTATTATTTTTTAACTCATCATCCGCTTTCTCTCTGGTTTTGCGTTTCTCCTGTCTTGCCCAGAATATCCCTACCCTCTGCTCTTCACCTGGGTCCCCGGTGCTGGCGCAAGCACCCCTACCCCTCCCCACCCTGTCCCCGCTGTCTTGTGCTTTCCAACCGGAGCCCTCTGCCATCTCCATTTCCCTCCAGAACCTGGAGAAGCAGATGCGCCAGCTGGCCGTGATCCCACCGATGCTGTACGACGCCGACCAGCAGCGAATCAAGTTCATCAACATGAATGGGCTCATGGACGACCCCATGAAAGTGTACAAAGACCGCCAGGTCATGAACTTGTGGAGCGAGCAGGAGAAGGAGACCTTCCGGGAGAAGTGAGTCCCCGTCACTGGGGGGTGGGCCTGGCCGGGCCACCCTCCCCTGTCCCGGGAAGCCCGTCCTGTTGAGGCTCGTGCTGGCTTCCTAGGGCTGCCACGACACATGACCACCAGCCGTGTGACTTTAAACAACAAGAATCTACCCTCACAGAGTTCTGGGGGCTGGAAGTCCAAGATCAAGGTGTGGTTCGGGGTGGTTCCTTCTGAAGGGCTCCAGGGGGGAGTCTGTCCCAGGTCTCGCACCTGGCTGGCACCTGCTGGCGGCCGGCGATCTTTGTCATCCCTCGGCCTGGAGATGGATCTCACCATCTCACTGTGTCTTCACGTGGTCTTGTTTCCTGTGTGTCTCTGTGTGTCTTCTCCTTTTCCTATAAATTCACCAGTCACATTGGATTCAGGGCCCACCCTACTCCAGCATGACCTCATCTTAACTAATTATATCCGCAAAGGACTCATTTCCAAATAAGGTCACCTTCTGAGGTGCTGGGAGGACATGATATTGGGGGGGACACTGTTCAAACCAGTACAAAGTGTCAAGGCAGTTTTATGTGAAATGGGGCAGTGTGTATCAGAAGAACAAGGCAGGAGGACCTTCGAGGTTGGGCTGAAGCCTTGGGCAGGGTTATGTGGCTGGCCGGTGACTTTTCGGTTTTCCTTTTACTTGGAAAGCGGCTATTTGTGGAGCACATCCTTCATCACAGACACTGGACAGATGTTTTCTGGGGTTTGTGCATTTGTCCCTCTTATCCCTCATAACAGCGTTACCAGGCCATCCCCATTACGCACATGAGGAAACAGAGGCTCAGAGAGGTTAAGACACTTAACAAAGGTCACACAGCTTGCAAATGGTGGAGGCAGGATTCAGACTCCCCCAGCTTCGGGGGAGGGGCTCAGCTGCAATGGAGAGGCTTGTTGGGGGAGAGGGCGGTATGGAGCCAGGGAGCAGGGTGGGGGGTCTTTGGAAAGCGGAGGCAGGAACTGGATGCTAAGAGGTGAAGCTTGGGGCTTCTTCTAAAATGAAAGAGCAGAATGACTGTTTTGGGGAGACGAGTGAGGAACCAGATGGAGAAAGCGCTTCTTTTCCCCACCAGACTCAGAATGTGTGTCCCAGGGAACCACATCCTGGGCACAGAGCGCCTCCTCAGGACCCAGGACCCCCATAAGGCAAGAGGGTGGGAAACTGAGGCGGAGGCCTCAGCGCTGAGCCAGGAGGGCGTGGGGGACTCAGCTGTGGGGCGTCCACGTTCACCTCCGCCTCCCGAGAAGGCCTCAGAGTTTCTTCAAAAGAGGTGTCCCATGTTCTCCAGCCACCCACTGGGGGGGCCAGGCCGCAGGGGCTGGGGCTGTCTCTGCCCTTTGCAGAGCTGGTGGCCCCAAAGTGCCAGACTGGGCTTCAGGGACGGGGATGGCTCTGGGTCGTGGGCAAGGCTGGGGTGCATCAGCCAGGGCAGACACCAGGACTTGGAAATGCAGGAGGAGCGACTGAAGAGGGTCTTGTGTGGAAAGTTTTTGTTTGTTTGTTTAAATGGCTTTCGATTATGAAAATTCTAAAACATACATAAAAACAGAGGGACGGTGTAATGTACCTTCGAGCGCCTAACACAGATGCAGCGACCTTCCACAGGAAATAGTGCTTTGGGGAGCAATTCCTGCCGTGTGTTTGGGGTTTACTGCTCAGAGGCAGGAAACGCAGGTAGTTAGCGGCTCATTTCTAGGTCCTCACGGTCACAGACGTCAAATCAAATCGTCCCGTATCTGGTGTTGTACAATTTAAAAAACAGTGAAGTGACTGTAGGACGGTCATGGATACTAAGAATTACTGTTGCATTAGATATTTAAATTCCCCCTGGTATGTTTGATATTTTATTTATTTATGCTTTCTTTAAAAAAAAAAAAAAAAGAGGTTTCTGGGAATGCTTTCTGTGTTTTGGCCTTTCTGGATTTTTCATGTTGCTGTTCCGACCTAAGGATTTCACGCTGTTAGTCCAGCAGCTGCAGAATGGGGGCCCCAGGCTGGGCTGATGTCTGCTGAGACCCAGTTTGGCACCTTGAGTCTTTCAAGGTCCTGGGTGACCTCTCGTTTTCAGCGGAACTGATAGCACTCCGGGCCTTGGAGAATCAGGTGCCGGTGGCGTAGAGTTCCATCACTTACTGTTTTTGTGACTTCGAGCAGCCACTTCCCCTCCCTGAGCCTCAGTCTCCACGTCTGTAAAATGGGTGTAGCCTCAGTGCCTCCTCGCTTAGCCGTCTGGAGGTACCCAGTGTCAGAGTAAACTCTCAGGAAACGTGGCAGAGAACCCAAGTGTAGGTTGGAGGGAGGTGGAACAGGTGACCTAAGAGATTCCCAGGTGTGCTTCTGGGTCTCCTGGGGCCCCATCTCTGCGTGGGGAAACCCCAAGGAAGGGATCTGTGGGGAAGGAAGTGTCACTGGGGCAGGGAGAGGGAGGAGAAGGGAAGACTGTCTGGAAAATCAGGGCGTTAGGCCGCCTCCAGCTTTGCGAGCTGCCCGAGGCAGGATCCCAGGCTGGGAAGCCTGCCTCTGACTCGCGGCTTCCTCTGGGAAAAGAGAAGAGGCCGCTCTGGCTTCTCCAGTGTCTGGTTGGGGAGCAGGGGAGGGACCCACTGGCCTCCCGCCCAGCCATCTGGAGGGCTGGGCAGGACCATCGCCAGCGCTGGCCCAGGCTCCCTCCGGCGGCGGCGGGGGGGGGGGGGGGGGGGGGAGGGGGGGGGGAGCCTGCAGCGGCAGAGGGGGTGGGGGGGGTGGGGGTGGGGGTGGGGGGACCCCGGGGCCCTGCGTCCCCAGCAGCCTCTCCTCTCCCCAGGGAGGCCGCGGGGCGGTGGCGCGTCTTGGGGACGGGCGGGCCGAGGCTCCACCCAGCATCCCCGGGGCCCCAGCAGCCGTGACCCACATCTCCGCCCCCGCTGCCCGCCTGCGCCTGTGGCCCTGACATTTCAGTCTGGCCCAGCTCTTTCCCAGTAATTCTCCCTGTTTCGCAGGAAGCCAGTTGGTGGGGTGCCAGCTCCCCGCCACCCCTGCAGCTTGGGTCCCTTCCCTCCGCCTCCTGGGCCAGCTTGCCTGCCTCCTGGCGGGCACTCGAAGCCTCTGCTCTCACCTCTCAGGGTCCTGCCCCGTGACCTCGCCCGTGGCGGCCCCGCGTGGGCCAGGCGAGGCCCAGCTTCCCAGGCTCAGCCGGAGACAGAAACAAAGGCAGAGTTTAAGAGGGGGGGGACCCCACCGAAGGGCTGCATGTCATGTCCTCATTTTTCCTGGAACCCGCCTCCAGCAGGACAAACAAATGTATTTTCAAAGGCGCTAAAACCAGTGACTCACTCCAAGGAACGCCCTCTCTTAGCCCTCCGTCCCGCCTGCCGCGGCCCTTCCCACACCCCCCTGGGCTTAATTGCTCCGAGCCGGGCGGTGCTGGGCCAGCGGAGATGGCAGGCGCCCGGGAGCTCGGCGGCCGCCCAGCTGGGCAGCACCCCTCGGCCTGGCCTCAGGCCCGCCCCTCTCTCCCCGCAGATTCATGCAGCACCCCAAGAACTTCGGCCTGATCGCATCGTTCCTGGAGAGGAAGGTGAGTCTGCTCGCGGCCCGGCGCCGCCGCCCCGCCCCCTCCGGGGGCCCCTCCTGGGGGCAGCCGCGTGCGCTGGGCCGACGGGCCCGCCCTCCCTCCCCACCCATGAGGCCTCTGCCCGCTGGCCCCGAGCTCTCCTTGCTGTGTCAGATGGCACTCCCCTCCTTCCTCCCTCCTGGGAGAAGCAACCGCAGGCCCCGCCCCCTTCTCCCGGGGCGGAGCTCCAGGCTGGGAAACCCCAGGAGAGCTGTGTGCACCAGCTCCTCAGACGTGGCAGCAAGCATCCTGGCAGACTGGACATGGGTTCTGGAAGCCGTGCCATGCCTGGCATCCTAATTAAGGCATTATAGGCAAGAGTGGCGATCTTCCAGGGCGCTGGATGGAATGACCTTTCTAGGTCCCTCTGATGGTCACTGTATGCTGACACCCCTGATGCGAAGCCAGGCGTGTGGCTGGCGTGTGGTTTATCCTCATCCCCTTTGGATAAACCTTTTCGTAGAGCTGAGGCTTGAGCTCCGCCTTGCCCCCACACCCAGCCTGGAGCGGTGCCTTTTTCTGCTCAGGCTCCTTGTTGGCAGGTGGACACAAAGCGTCCCAGGAAACGGTAAAGCCCCCTTTTGTGTGCCCACGAGGCTAGGCTGGGCAGCGGCCCCAGCGGCCGCAGGTAGGAGGGAGCCGGTTTGGGGGGCTGGACGTGGCCCTGTGTCAGAGTCGCCCGCTGGACCCCAGCATCATCAGGGTGGAGCCAGACAAGCTTCCTGAAAAGGTTTACTTTCTGGGGCTGCTGTTCTGGGTGTTTAAAGCAGCGTTTCGCCGAATCTCGTCTCTCAGACTGGGTGTCTGCCCACTCCCAGCTTTGCAAATACCATGCTACTGGAGGCCTCATGCTTCCTCGCTGTGGGAGGGCGGTCGGAACCGGATCCAGGCGGGTATTTTAAAGGGTAACAGTTGTTCTCAGCATCTGCCCTCAATGAGCCGATACCCATAGAAGGAGGGAGATGGGGCAGAGGGGGGAAGTGAAATCTCTCCCGGCCTGAAAAACCAGTGTGGAGAAGCAAGCCCTATAAATAGCCTCTCCTCTGAGTTAGTGACAGCTTCTTACTAGGGGTGTGGACAACCTAGGAGGCTCTAAGTTGGGGCTCCCCGGAGACAGAAGCAGGGGTTTCAGAAATTGGCAGTTGAGCAGAACTGTTTGAATGAGGGAATCAGAGGTCTCTATGCTGGAGAATAAACTTTACGGTGTTCTTTGGCTAAGAGGCAGCCCAAGCTGAGACTTAAATAAAGCTTCCAGAAGGGTCTGAAGCTGGGCTGCCAGCTGTGCCTTTGGGGATTGGCGTGTCCTGGTGGTAAGTGAGGCCAATAGCAGGGTGGGAGCTCGGTGGACTGGCCAGCCCGTGCCTGTCTGCAGGGGCAAGTGATGCTTAGGGCCAGCGCATGGTCGCCCAGCACAGGAAGGCACTGTCCTGAATTGTTCAAGGGGAAGTCAGACACCCACATCCCTCAGTTTGCAGATATTGGCATCTGATTATGAAATGTTTTTCTTAACCATTTTGCGGGCCATGCTTGTGGTCAGGTTGAACTTGGGAGCAGCCTCTGTTCACAGTCCATTCTAGGAAGTGGACGAGGACGCAGGGGTTTGAGGCCCAGCTGTCCTCTGCACACAGCGGCCCTCACGATTGCCCCTCAGAGGCCAGTTCCGGGCTTGGCACCAGCACCGAGCATCACAGAAACATTTTACCTTATCCCAGTAACAGTTGCTGGCATTGGCGAGCTGTCACCTGGACTGGGCCGCGTGGCCGCAGGCGGCGGCATCGTCATGTTCTGTCCTTCAGTTGCTCTCTGAGGACGATGCCCTCTTACTGGTCCCGTTTGGACGAGGAGGTGGTGGGGTTCCAAGAGTGCCAGTCATTTGCTCAGCAAGTGGCGGTGCCAGGATTCAGACCCCGGTCCGCGGGGCAAAGACCGAAGCAGAGAAAAGACATAAACGTCCCAAGGGACGAAGAGTTGCGTGGCGACATTAGGCTGGATGCACGAAGCTTGGAAGAGGTTACTCAGGCCCCTAAATGTTAGGGAGGAGCAAGCTAGGGTGAGCGAATGGACCCGAGCCGGGGAGCCGGAGGCGTTGTTCTCCTGGGGCTGGCATGGCAGGTGACGGTTTCGTCCTTACGACTGCCAGTAGCACCAGCCACAACACGAAGAGGTTAACACCTCTGCAGGGTGTGTTCTGTGGTTCTAAGTCCTTTACACGTATGTGTATTAACTTAACCTGGTCTTCATGACAACCCTGTGAAATATGTGCTGTTAGTACCCCGACTATACAGGTGAGAAAACCGAGGCCCAGAGAGGTTAGGTAAGCTGGCCAGGGTCACCCAGCCAGTACCTGGAGGAGGTAGGATTGCAACCCAGGCCTCCTGCTCTGACCGCCTGCACTGCACACGCCTCAGAGTTCTTTTCTCTGTCCATCCCGCAGACGGTGGCTGAGTGTGTCCTCTATTACTACCTGACCAAGAAGAATGAGAACTACAAGAGCCTGGTGAGGCGCAGCTACCGGCGCCGCGGCAAGGGCCAGGTGAGGAGGGGGCGGGGCGGGCTCCCGGCATGCTCGGGGGCAGCGTGCGGTGACATCTCCTCGTGCTTCTCAGCAGCGGGTCCCTCAGTTTGGGCCCCTCCCGTGGCAGCTGGGAGACCCTCTCTGGGGGTGTTCCTCCTGTCCTAGCAGCAGAGAAGAGACCTGGGAGAAATGGCCGCTTCCACCCTGAGCCTGGAAAATTCTAGAACTCCAGGCTTGGTGACCCACCGTCCCTGTGGTGGATTAGGGTCGCATTCCCAGAGCAAGGGCTGGGCTTCCAGGGTGACTTGGGCTACAAACTTAACATTTAAAATTTAGAAAGAATTTTTGGTGTTTTGTCGTAATGCGTACGTGAAAGAACAAAACAGCCAGAGGGCCGTTTTTCAGACATCAGTGCTTCGGATATGACTGAAGGATGACTTAAGTTAGAGAAGGACTTGGCAAACTATGGCTCTCGGGTGAGTCCAGCCTGCCACCTGTTTTTGTGAATAAAGTTTTATTGGCACCCGGCCATGCCAGTTCGTTGACATATTACTGTGGCAGCTTTTCTGATACAACAGCAGAGTTGAGTAGTCCTGACAGACACTGCAAAGCCTGACATATTCACTATCTGGTCCTTTATAGAAAAAGTCTGCTGACCTCTGAGTTAGAGGAAAAGGGAATTCGTTTAAAAAAGGATTCCATAAATTATGTTAAAGATGAAGGGGGTCAGTGGCACACGTTTTAAAGGGGGCTCGCGAGTGTTTTGGTGTCCGGGAGATGGAGGGAAGGGGAGGGATTTGTTTCACTTCCGGGCTGTTAAGAATCAGCCCAGAGCAGATGCTGGGACTAACGGGGTGAGGCGGGGAGTGGGCTTGTGCTGCAGGCGGAGGGATGCGGGCCGGAAACTGCAGAAGGCTCTGGGCACTGCTGTTAGATGCCGCACTGGAGGGGGTTGGGGCAGGCCCTTCCCTGGGGCCTCTGGCCTGGGGGACCGGACAGGGGAAAGGGACGAAGGCCGGGATTAGCATGTGCTGGGAGGACAGGACACAGAGGTTCTCTTAGGTGGGTGGTCCCTGTCATTGGCGTCTTCCAGCCCAGACCCCCACCCCTACCCCAGGGCCACCGTCTTCCCTTCCCGAGGCTGGAGAGAGCCGGACCCTGAGGGCCTCAAGTCCAGCCATCACCTGTGGGGTCCCAGTGTCCCCTGTGAAACCGTCACTCTATGATCAAGCCCCATAGCCTACGATGGGTTGGTCCACACAGCTTCCTAGCCTGCATCCCGTGTCTCCTTTCTTGCTTTCTGGGAACTGTGCTTCGGGAGTACAGACCCACTTTTCTGTTGTCTAAGCCACATATAATTAGGGAAGCAAATCTGCTGACGGGAGAGTAAACTCCTCACTGCATTCTGCACGTCAGGCCAAGATGATTGAGACTGAGCCTTGGTTGTCGTTGGCCTGGATCGTTGAAGGGTGGCTGCGTTTGGTTTGTGGATAGGGTTTTCCTCTAGTTTTGTGCAGCCGCCGTTGGCCAGCCTGCTCGCCCATCTAACAGATGTGTAAAACCGAGGCCTACCGGCTTTGGCGCTATTCAGTTGTAAAGACCTAGCTGTGGCGTGTTAGAAATTGAAGCGCATTTAGGAATTTTTCTAGACTGAGATGCAGAAACTCAAATAAATGCCGGGGCAGGGAATAAATGTGCCGGCATAAGAGGCAGGAAGGAGGGCGTGGCGTGGACTGTGGCAAAATAAAGGGGGAGATAAAGGCCTCTAGACTGATTTTAAAAACGTTGTCAGCTATTTGTTGAGCATCTCCTGTGTGCCAGTTCTCTTGCTCGTCTTCCCAGTGCCCCCCGACTCCCTGCCTTCGTGGGGGCCCTGTGGGTGGGCTCATGAGGGCCTTGCTGGTGGCTGGGCTGAGGGCTCTGGAGATGAAAGGGTTCTGAGTCAGATGGGGAGAGATTGGGCCATTCTCAACCTGTGCTGAGAGCCCCGTTTGTGTGGAGGGAGGCAAAGACTGTGTGCTGACGTCATTTAGGGAGGGGCTATCTCCAGATGAGTCCTGGGGAGTGGGGGGCCGTTGGTGCCCCCTGCCCCTGGTCCTGGCTGCCATGCCTTCCACTTCATGGTGTTAACGCCTTGCTAGCTGACTCATCTGCCCGTCGGACATTTGTGTGCTGACACAGGGGACTCTGTGCTCGTTGTCTAGACCAGGTGTACACAGGTGGTTCCAAGTCAGCATGTCGGTGGTCTGCCTGAGAGGCTCCATCGAGTAAGGGACCCCAAAGATGAGGTTGAGGAACAGCCTCTTGGGAGGATGAGGACAGAGGTGAGGGTGTCCTGGGCAGAGGGAACAGCAGGTAGAAAAGCGCCAGGACACGAGAGAGTGCTCAGTACCCTTAGAGTCTTAGGAGCAGGGGTCTCAATACCTTCCAGGGTCTTACATGAATGAAGGGATGGAGAATCCATAGGAGGCAATAGGGAGTGGTGAGGCCCAGGGTTAACTAGAGAGCTTGTGCCTCATATCAGCTCCAGCTGACTCTTGACTACCTGGCCCTGTATTGCCAGATCTGATTTTTGATGATGAGCTGGAGATAGGGAATTATGTGAAATTGCCTGATTTTTAAATCTTAGGTCACGTAAGAACCAATAACAGCAAAGCACCAGATAGGCTGGACGACTCATATTCGCTCTCGAAATCTGTCCTCAGCCCTCAGTATAAGACCTCTGGGTTGGAGTATGGTAAGGCTCTGAGGGAAGCGGTAGGGAGAGGATCATGGCACTCGGGACAGAGTCCAGGGTCAGGGCCCTGGGGGCCCTGGAGTGTTTTGTAGCAGAGGAGAAGCGTTGGCTTCGTACTTTCATCTGAGCTGTCCTGGGTTAGCTGTGGCGTCCACAATGCTGAGAGGCGTGGGGCTTGTCTGGTGAGGTTTAACGGTCTGCTCAAGCTGGCGTCTCAGGCTGGGGCTCCCAGGATGGAGCAGGGATGCCTCTGTGCCCTGCCTCTTGCAGAAAGAGAGAAGGCAGGGCCCGAGGCCCCTGTCTCCTTGGGAGATGGGACATATCTTTGGGGCTCTCCCCTCCCTCTCATCGGCTGTGGCTGCAAAAAGGTGCCATGTGGCCCGGGCCCTGCCGGGGACGGAAATTAACGTGCAAACCCTGGAAGGACTCCTGTGCCAGGCAGATCCGCTGCCCTCACCACCGCCTGCCAGCCCTGTTCATAAATATGGAATAAATGGGTCAACCCAAGTGTTGACTTTGTGGCCGTAACTCTTCCCTGTGCCCCGTGACAGCAAAATAAACGGCAGACACACCAACCCAGCAACCCCTCTTGGTAATTCAAGGTGCAGTTGCTGCAGCGGGCCTGATGTGATAAAACCTGTGATCCTGCTGTTAAGTGTCCCAGTGAGACAGACGGGTAGGGGTTCCCCAGCCCGGCACGGAGTGGGGGTGGGTGTATGTGCTTGGGCGCCTACACGTGGATGGACGGATGGGCACCGGCGGTGGCGGCCCCCCGTGGGCTGATACTGCGAGCAGATGGCGGTCGGGCGTGAGGCAGGCAGAGACCCTCTGCTCTGTGAAGCCAGAAGAGCCAGGTGGGAATGAGCCTGGAGAGCAATCCCCTGTGGGGTGGGCAGCAGTCAGCCTCGGAGGCATAGCAGGCGCCCAGGTAACAGTTCTGCTGTCCCATCCTTGTGTCCGATCAATCCTTGGCCCGCCTCTGGCAGCTCAGAACCTTGGGACAGGCTGTGATCCTCACGTGGTTCCCGTGGCTCCGGCCACGCCGTAGCTGAAGATGGCCACGCGGCACCGCTCAGCTTGTCAGCCCGACAGATGCCCCGCGGATGGGCCCCTCCCGCTTCACTTCTCTAAGGTTGACCCCCACTCACCTCCACAGAGGCGTCGGATGCACGATATTATGTGGTCATCCAGAGTGCAATTATTGAGTGCCTACTGCATGCCAAGGCTGTAAAGCTTTGCCTTCAGAGCCGCACGAGACCACGATCCTTCAGGAAGCTAGAGAGAGGGTGTCAGCCAAGCCCAGCTGTCTCGGCATCTCACAGCCCGTCCCGATTAAGAGCCTCTGAGGTAGACGTGAGGTGGGACTTCCGAGGCGTCAGTGAGCGGGGCCCTTCTCCAGGCTGCCGCCTTGTAGAAGGTGCATTTCCTGAGTTGGCTGAACATGGCCCAGGGCCAGAGACAGAGGGGTACCCACCTGCCACCAGCACCCCTCTCCCAGTCATTCCTGCCATGGTGATGAGGGGAGGCTGTCTCGGGCTCCAGGCTCAAATCCCCAAGTCTGGGGAGGAGGGGGACCCACGGTGGGAAGTTATTCTCCCCAGATCGTAGGCCTTCTACCTTCTCCCGATACCACCGTCCACTCCAGATTGGCCGTGGCCAGCGTCCTTGGGCTCTGCCCTCCTGGGGTCCAGGGAGGGATGTGTCCCAGGCTGAGTTATGGACCCTGAGATGGAGCTGGCGTCCAGCTGAAGTTCTTGAACTTCCACCACGAGGACTTGTGAAAACACAGACTGCCGGGTCGCGCCCCTCGGTGGGGCCTGAGAATCTGCATTTCTAACAAGTGCCCTGGCAGTATTCCTGCCACTCTTGGACCCTCTCAGAGCCTCGGCCTTCGGGGTGTTTACTGGGAGTCCCCACCTGCCAAGGAATGGGAGGGAAGGGAGCAGAGTGGCAGACGGGGCAATCGAGGCAGGGCGCAGGCTCAACGGCAGCCTGGACCAACCCTGGGGGCGGTGCTCTGGAGCTGGAATGGCCCTTCCCAGGTGGGCAGAGAGGGCCCGGTCTTAGCCCAGGGGCCATAGAGGCTGAGGGCATTCGTAGCGGCTGAGGCCCCTTCTAGAAAGGGACCTGGCCAGTCCATCCTGGGGACGAATCCTGCATGTTTGCATATTTGCAAATTACATGCTACGGTGGTCCTGACCTGCCCCAATGCTTAAGCAGAGAGTGGGCAGCAAGATGTCACCTCGTGTGTTCAGGTGACACACGCCCCGTCACGGCCTCA